TCGCTCGCGGCGCGTTTCACGACGACGCGTATGACGCGATATAACGCGACTGTCTTGGTTGAGAATACCCAATACACTGCAGTTCAGGAGCTTCGAAATCCATGTCATAAGGAAGGTTCTCGCCACCGCACCTGACCTGAACGGAGCACGCGTGTCGACCTCATCTCGTCGTCGTGCTTCGGCTTGCCTCGCCTCACCTCGCCACGCCTCGCCTCGCCTCGCCTCGCCTCTCTTCGCCTCGCCTCGCCTCTCTTCGCCTCGCCTCGCCTCGCCTCGCCTCACCGCGCCTCACCTCACCTCACCTCGCCTCGCCTCGCCTCTCCTCACCTCACCTCGTCTCGCCTAGCTTCTCCTCACCTCACCTCGCCTCACTTCGCCTCACCTCACCTCCCCTCGCCTCGCCTCTCGCCTCGCTTCGTTCGCCTCGCCTCGCCTCGCCTCTCGCCAGTTCTCGCTTCGCAAGCTTCGTTTCGTTTCGTCTCGCTTCTTTAAGTCAAATTTTGTCAAGCATGGGCTCTGGCTTCGAATGTCTCGCTAGATGAGCTTGATCACTTCTCGCCGCTCCTCACGTCTCTCGGCTATCGTCAGTCTTGCCTCGCTGTGCCATGTTTTATCCCACCATCGTATTACGTTTTGCCTTGACTCGCTTTTCACGACTACTTATTTCCCAATGTCAAAAACGATGTCGATGCGCGATAAATTGATAAAGCACGCGAGGCCAATAGTTTATAGATATCAGCTGTTATGTACTATGATTATGTACTATTAACTATAATATACCGTAATATCCCACTGTAACAATCATATTTTTAATTCTGTATTACTATATATATAAATGCTACATATAAATAGAGAATTTTGTTTTAATAATATTGAGTCTTGTAATATTTAATAATAAATTAATTTTGAGGTGATGCTCGCGTGGCATTTATATACATTTCTTTGCCGGATTACAATATCAGTCGTTTTGATCTTATCAGTATTAATTATGGTTAAAAATCGTGAGTATGCAAAGTAACTATATTTTTCTGTTCGTTCGAAAAATAGAGGAATATAATCTTTTGAATTGTGTCATTGCCATTGCCGTCAGAATATTTCACGCGAAAATTCTTTTTCATGTTCATGTATAACGTTTAACGCTCTCATAAACAGTAATAGTTTATCGGTATTCGCAAGAATATATATACTTTTTCTATGTACATACGAGCCAAAATATATTCGATAATAAATGACGATCGATGAAATTATCTCCAATGCGTCAACATGACACGTAATGTGACGCCATCCGACGCCATTTGACGCTATTCAATGTGTGTGGATTTCAATCTTTACTTGTCGGTAATTTAGCATATGCTGCCTATATACATATCATTATGTAAAACATCAAACCAATCTCTCTCTTTCTCTGTAAGAAAAAACTTTCACACAAATTTCTTTTTTATCTCACTTTATTAGTTTTCATCTTGTTTATAATCAAGAAACTATAATAATATACATATGTTGAGAGGTAAAGTGCGACGAGATATTAATTTTCATGTTTAAACGTGTACTGTAAGCAACATTATCATGATAAAATAACATAATAATGAGTAAATTTTAAAGGCTAATGAGAGTCAGTGCGAAAGGGGTTGCGCACAAGTATTGATTCAAAAAAATTACTTCTATTCAGAAAAACTGATGTCTTCTTTATCTCATAATCTTGAACGTTTTAATTTACTTTGAAGTCAATCTCAGCAAAATCACAATTCAAATTCTTCGAAATTCAGTCAAAAACAAAAGTTAAGAGGTCCATCCAGGATGGGTCTCAGATTCTCAGAACTGTAGTGAATTCTGATATGTAAATGTATGTACATATTAATACTACAAGTCAATTATTAAAGAAAGAGGGGAAAGCAACTCACCTCGAACAGAACACTCAACATGTTACAAAGTTTTGGAATTTTGATTTCATTGTGTGATAATTTTTATCGATAAAATAATGACACATGTCTTGAATATATTTGTAACAAAGACAATTTCCATACGTTTGTATGATTCCGTGTGTCTAACGAATATTTTAATGTACAGAAGTCAATTCATTATCGTGATATTAATCGAAAAATTTAGACTAATAAAAAAGCCAAAAAGGTCGAATCTCCTAAATTAGAATATTATGTAAGTTTTTCATGTGGTGGTTCAGCTATTCTTATTTTAAACGCATCGAGAAAACAAAAAAGGATGAAATCTGCGATGGTTTGTACAACAAATATGGAATTTGCTGTTACGAAATAAAGTGAATGTTGAATTGTAAAACTATTGCGATATATTTATTCAAATCATTTTCGAATATTTTTCAATATCTATATGAAACTAAATCGTATTCCGTTCTCGGTAGGAATTGGTATTGATAAAGAATTTACATATACAATATAAGACTAATCATAGAGTAATCCTTTAATATTTCAACAAGAACGTTCAACTCAGTAATATTTTGCGCCAAGTATATCGGATCATGTAAATTTATATATATATATATATTATATAGTATATATATATATAATATTATATATATATATATATATATATATATATACACACACACAAGATATCGCATATTATAGGGACGCACCTGATCGATATCGTAACGATCAGAATCGTTAAAAATGTAGTTAAAGATTGGTAAAATATTCAAGATTTTTTAATAGAAGACCGAAATTCTATACGATTTGATATATCAATTTCATATACATAATTAAACGAAATGCTGATTATTATTATCACTTGAAACGCCCATGGCATGTTATGTGTGTGCTTTTCCCTTTCTTATTTTTTTGTAAATACTCTTTATTTCATTGGAAGGAATATTTTTAATAAAAGTCCTCATTTATCTTTTTATAGATTATTTGCGTTTCGTTCCTTATATTAATAACTATCGCTTAATACTATACCGTTGAAAGTCGTCAGACTCTCGTAAAGTCGGCAACTCGATATCGTAAATATATGAAATACACAATTTTTCTTTTTATATTAAAATATTATTTTATACTCATTTCGTAGGTGCCATACAAGGCTGCGTACGTACTCTCAATATTAATGTGAACGTATATGAAATAAATTATTGCACTCTCATATACCTAATTTGGACTTGGCACCGAACATGATTACATGACACCGATCGATTCGTATATCTAATCGGAAATATAATATGTATTATGTTTAGTCAAACTTATGAATTCAAACTTATGATCGATTTACGATTATACTTTCGAATATCAAATTATACTTGATCTTAAGTGTCAACTAATAATCTAATGCTTAATTCTTCTGTGAAAGCTGTCTTATATCTTTCATATTTTCTTTCTCCGTATAAAGGCCTCGTAATGTTATGTATATATATACGTGTATTCCTACGACTATAAGAGATATTTCTGGAATATAAAATTTTTCCGTGGAATCGATATAATACCTAAAATATCGTACGACGATTTTTGACTAGTTTTAAAGAACCTTTACCTCGTATGGTGTTGCTATCCATCGCAATGGATGCAGCAAAATGTTCATTTTGCTAAGTAATGTACATTCTATTCAAAAGCCTTCAGGATGAATAAAGACTTTTGATTACCAATATTTCATCGTGTTCACACTTTTACTGTTACTAAATATCTTTTTACTTTTCATTCGTTATTGTATAATGTATATGTATACGATTGTAAATCGCTACAATAGCCGTGTTCCGATATTATATGTATTTCAGTACTGAAAATCTACGTAACGTAAACTATAGGCTTTCAGTATTGACAATGCATATCGGAACACGGCTAATAATGATGACGTTATGCTACCAACGTATTTTTTCTTTTAAAAAAGAACAAAAAAATAGAACGACCAACTATGTGAGATTAGTACAAGCAAAGATTATATTTAATAATTACGAAAATGAATGTGAACGCACACATCTGCATGCAATGTATGTATATGTACGTACATACATGTATGCTGTAATAACGGAGGTAGTAGTCTACTTGTAGCGCGTAAAATCGATAAGGAGGCAAGTTATGATCACAGAAAAGCTATATACATGTGTCTATTTTATAGACGTGCTTTCCGTACGAAATACGCGCATCGCCCTTTACATGAGAAAAAAGAACTTGCTCTACAATTTATAATACAATTTTAATTTTTTGCATTAGCTGTTAAGGGAAACTTGTTATAATAATAATCTCATCGATGACATTTTTAACAAATTGAAAAATATGATTAAACGAAATGCAAACGAAATGAAATGATTAAAATTAATTTAAATTTTAACTGAATTATACAATAATATAATTAATTGAAACACACGAGAGTAACTCGCGAAACTCGTACGCGAAGGACACACGAAGACAATTATAAAAGTTTGGGGTATGTGACGCGATGATTAATTTACAATTATTTTTCGCGTTATCCAGAGGAGAGGGGATAACTTGTCAATTTTTGTCAACTGTACAGTACAGTCTAACTTGAGAATACAATTCGCTCGGCGAAGAAATAGCGACTACAAGCATGCATAGAGCTCATACGTTTTTTTTTGTACATACAAATCAGGACACGACATGTGTCGATTTCGAACCGCTATATATGCATCGATTGCCCATCAATATCCTGAGAGATTCGAAATTATATTTACAATTAATAGTTGCCGTGCAAAAAATATACATATATGTATATCCGTATATGTATATTCGAACAAAATACATGCAATCATCGACGGCAACGTGTAGCTCGTAACTCGAGCTATTTGTAAGCTCTCTACTTTGACTTTATATTATTGCAAGCGGCATGTTTCTAATTTGTACATAGAATAGGTATTACTATATCGCTCTACGCTATTGAAAGTATTAAAAAAAAAAGCTACATCTGTATCTTCGAAATAATTTTCTTTGTGCTAATATCTAAGAGATTAGAAATGACCTCATAACTTTCACAAAGATTTCGTAATTAAAGCATTACATATTAATGATAAGTGATAACCATGCAAAATCGGAGAATCACTCCACCGATGCGATTTTTTATCATTTTTTTTTTTTTTACATAACATTCCTCGAGTTGCTCACATTAGTTGCTTACATTAGTGTTGCGAAAAGTTGCGATAAACCCGTTTCGACAAATTATAGGTTTAATTATAATTATAATTAATTATGTAATACACCACAGCCGGCTCTAGCAACTCGTGTATAGCACATCGTGAAATAACACTATAACGAAATTAAGGGGTGCCTGTGACAATTTTCGCAATCTGTATTGCAATTCCTTTCATATTCCTTATTAACACGCGATTCCAATTGCGATCGACAACTGATCGACAATCATTATTTGTCTCTCTATAGCTCCTTCCTTCTGGCTGGCTCCTTCAATGAATACCGGCATATTTACACACTGTTTATCGCATTGAAATCCTTATCAGTAGTTACCCCTTTAGATTCGTTTCGACACTTTCGATACAAATTGATTAAAGGCATCACTAATAACAATACGCCGCTTAACGCAATAAACAATCCCGCCAAGTAGAAGGACAGATTGTACGTGCCTGTGATATCGTACAGCCACCCTGAAAAAGAGATACTTTATTTTAAGAATTCCTTATTCGCTCAGCGTGTTTCAGTGTTTAGAAAAGGAAATTTTTAATTTGCCAATTGATAATTCTGTCAGAATATATTGTGTCCGATTAATATTGATCAATTCAATTTTCTGTTATTGCAATGCTTGTAACTATTTTATTTATTAATTTGTGATGATGATAAAGTTTCGGGCCACTGCCACGTAAGAAATTTACCAGCTAGCGGAGGGCCCATGAGATTAGCAATTCCTTGAACGAGTAACAGAAGACCATAAGCGTTGGTGAATCTGTCCAAGGTGATCAGCTCAACAAGGATGATGCTGGTAAGACTGTAATTTGCTGCGATGAATAATCCAAAGGCACCAGAGATTGCACATAAAGTGTAATAGTCGTTGATAACTATTGGTATCAGAGCGGTAACAGTACCGCAGAGCGCCATGCACACTGCATACACGATAGATGCATTTACCCACGCCCTATCACCAGCCCAACCCAGAAGAATCTGTAAAAAAGATTTAGTTTTTTTCACTAGAAAAAAAAACTATCAAATCGAAATATCATTTATTTAGCTAAACATTTCCACCGCTGCTTACCTCGCCGCTCATATTAGCGATTCCAATCACCGAGATCAGAATGGACGCATCCGTCTCGCTAAATCCAACTTCGATTGCATTGTCCGTTAGGTAGACATAAGGCACATCGTACCACGTGTGCAAGAGAAAGTTGCTGACGGCGAACAGTAGAAATCTCGGATCGGCAAAGTACGAAAAGTCTAGCATGTCGACGATCAAGTCCCAAAATTCCCAGAGTCCAGCGTACCAAACGAGCTTCGTCTTGGCGATCGTAGTCATTGAATTTCTGTAGATGTCCGGGCAGCTTGAAGCTCGCAAACGATATCGATTGATGTTGAGCATAGCACCTCTGTAAGTCAGACTGTGCCTATGCATTCTGATATCCTTTAAATAGGCAGTGGGCAGCCTCCTCGGTTGTTCCAATGTGCTAGATCGCCTTAACGGAGTGTCGAAATTGATTTTCTTCAGCCACCATAAATATGCCGGTTCTACCGATTGATGGTTATGATGATGATAATGATTATGCTGATGTTGATGCTGATGCTGATGTTGATGCTGCTCGCCGCGCAAATCACGGCTCTTGTCCTTGTCTTCAGTTAATGAACTAGGTGCTGTTATAAATCGAGCCGAGGAAGTACTCAGTTGATCGTGCAGCGCCCCAGAATCGCTGAAACTCCTCGACGATATCAAAAGACTTGGATAGTTTTGCAGGAGCACATTGTAAACGGTCTCAGTCTTATTCGTACTGAGTAATTCTAACACCTCCAAAGGTACTTTTTCTCCATTCTTGACGAAAGTAGGTAAATTCACTAAGCTAGAAAATAACTTCTCACCACTCTCCTCGTTGCATACATCCTGCGGCCGAAGATTCTCAATAATCATCGCGTTGACTGATGCAAAACCTTTTTTAGAATCACCGTGAGGTGTTTGCGTGGTCGTGTTTGCAGAACTGGTGGCGGAAAAGGAATCTGCGCTGGAACTCTGTATTTTAGATCTCTTCTTTTCTCGATTCTTTCTCCTCTCTTGAGTTTTTGCTTTTGCTCTAGTGGTAGTCCATTCGAGATCCCGCATTAGACATCCACATACAGCGAGATTCGAAAACAATCCCGCCAGAATCAACGTGGTTCCTCTCCAGCCGTACTCTGCTAAAAGATTTTGTGTAACAGGCGCAAAGATAAAAGTCCCGATTCCGCTACCACATACTGATAAACCGGTAGCAAAAGATCTCTTTTTGTCAAAGTAGTACGCCACGATTACCACCGCTGCGACGAAACACAAGGACAAGCCAAAACCTGCTACAATGCCAAATGTGAAAATGAGTACTTCCATAGAGTTCGCATAGGAACTTACAACGAAACCGGCTGTTGCCAAAATGCTACCGGCTACAGATACTTTTCTACATCCATATCGATCGGTTAAGAAACTTGCTACCGGCCCCGACAACAATGGCATCGCCATAAAGAGACTACCTATCCACGCTGTCTTGGACTTGCCCTCGCCGAAATAATTAAGGAATTCGACATATATTACGCCAAAGGAAAAGGTAATGCCATCCGCGATCAAGTTTACCATAAATGAGGCCGCTACGACGACCCAACCCCAACCTCCATCGGGAGGCCTAGCTTCGCAAAACTGTCCCAAACTGGAATTGTCCTCGGAACTGCTTGTGGTAGACGTGGAGATTGACGGACTTGGATGCGGTCTTTCTTCAGGTGTATGACGTAGCTGTTGCTTTTGAGACTCTTTGTTGAATTGCACGTGATGCTGCTGCTTATCTTCCTTTGGAGACTTGCCGTTCACGAGTTTCTCAGTGCTCTTTTCGGTCAACAAATGGTTCTTGGACGACAGTCCAATTCTGGTAGGGGACCCGAAAATTGTACTCCTTTCATTGAAAACGCTCTTCAGTTTCTGCGGACTAGATGCATCCTCTCTATAAAGGCTGTTGGGTCTCTTTGGTGAACTTTGCATATTTTGCGAATCATCTTTTAGCTCTTGACGAACTTCCTGACGTAACCTTGAGCCCGATTGCTCCATTCGTTCCGGGTCGTTCTCTACGAATCTTATTTCTTCTTCTTCTTCTTCCTCTTCCTCCTCCTCCTCCTCCTCTTCTTCTTCTTCTTCTTTTTCTTTTTTCTTTTGCGCATTTTCCAATGATTCCGAGTTGTTTTGAAAGTCATTGACGTATTCTAATCCCCGAACCGAGCTCGAATCCATAATTGTGTCCTCGTGATTATGATCACAATTACAATCGTTTCGATGGTTCGACATACGTAAACCTCTGTTGATAATTTTATCATCGCTAGTTTCAGCATACGATTGCCTCACGGTCGTATCATTCGTCGTTCGTTCGTCTAGTCGAATCTGCTTGTCTCCATCATTAAACTTGGTCCACTCGGCCATATTGGAGAAACGAAGAATGTGAGAAATATTCACTTTTTTTTCAAGATATCAAAATACTTGCGATTTTCCTCTCCATGAAACTGATACCGTATACGATACGCACATATATAGACACATACAAGCAATCACACGCGGTAACAAAAACTCGAGCAATTGTATTTGCAAAGAATTTGGGCGGCCCCTTCTCCTCAAATCGAAACGATCGATTTAATAAAAATCTAATTTCGTCCTTGACTTAAACAACGGTAAACAAGGCCACTCGTAGAGCTGCCTGGTGAACTGACGACGCAACGGTAATAGGGACGACCAGGTCGATGTAAGGTTGTCTGGCGATTGATAGTCGGCACCCGGTCGACCATGCAATGGTCCACCACCATTGCAATTGCGGCTCCGGATTCTCCAAGTCCAAGTAGCACTTTGATTACTTGGGACCACCTCCTCCTCCGCGAAACGTTCGTCAACCCAGGCACCCATGCGGCGAAACGTACTGCTTCGGTTCTAGTGTTGTATTCTGCACAACAAGAAAAGCCAGTCATCTCCTTGTCAGCGATATATATGCGTCGCACTTAAATTTTCTAATTGATAGTTAAAATATAGATAGATATAAGTAGATAAAGAGGATATACAAAAAAAGGATGAGAAGGGACTACAGAAATGTGCGAGTAAATTTTCATCCATGAATCACGATTAAATTAAAAGAGATAACAGAAGCAGTGCTTACATACCATTTGTACTAGCCACGTTTCTATGATATTTGTCAGAGTATGCTTTTCTTTTTCTGAAAACGCAAACTATCGCAAAGATATCTATTGTCTATAGTTCTTTCGTTCAATCTATCGAATGTAAATCGAATCAAATGATATATAGTATAATAATAAACGATCATATATGTATATCTCGTTATCATCTAAGCGCGCGGTAATAACATGATCAAAGTGACGCACGCAGTCGCGAAAAAAATGTCTCGCTCGGCTATATTTACTCGCTAAAGCAACATTCTCGAGCATTATTAGACGTTCCAAGTTCGATGTTTGGCAAAGACACTCGACAGTGTGACTCGCTTCTGGCATTTCGTAACCGGCCGAAGTAGCTCGAGTTAGAGTCAGCGATTATAAATGAAGCTCATTGTGTATGAGTTGCTATCAATTTAAGGATTTAACGGTGTCCACGATGATCACGCGTGTATCATACGATCTCTTTTCCTTCTTCTTTTATATCTTCTACCTAGGCTTCTTCGTGCTGATTGTAATTTATTTTCAAAGTTCGATTCATTGTTAGTATACCTAAGTAAAAATTTCAAGTGCGTGCAAATATTAAAGGGTCAGTGTCGACCTGATGTAACGAGACACGACGTGCGACGTGACACAACGTACACATGGCTTGTCGCAATGCTGCGCCGCAATACTTCAAAAAGGTTTCATTTTTGGATGCATGAAAAATATCTATCTCTTTATTAGTTCTTCAATTTATTATAGGTATCAAGATACCTATCATATTTCTCAATATTGCCAATTAAACTTTTCCTTTCTTTCTTTTTTAATGAACTGTAGAAAAATCTTAATACTACATTTCGGTAATATTTAATTTGAACTTTATTTATACAATTATTTCTTTACTATACTATTTAAATTTTTAGAATTTTTCATTAGGAAATTATGAAAATAAATATCTAAGGATTATATTATATATACTATAAGACCATCATGATCGAATACTTCATTTTATTGCGAATCGCATATTATTTTACGTCAAGAAAAATACATATCAAGTACATACAAAGTACAAAGTTAAGAAACTTGAGTTTCAAACTTAAGTTTACTTACGAAATAATGCCGTCAATTTGACAATATATTTTATTAAATGTCTCCATGATATCAACGCCCTGTGCTCTCTGATAAACTTTCGTATTACTGACCGATTTGATTAAATTAAAATTTAAAACAAAATAAGTAAATATGTTATAACTTCTTCTGCGTTTGTCAAAAGTAATTGTAGATTTAACGTTGACCTACATCTTGTCGGGTTACTTAACTCACAATCAGAGGAAGACGACCATTTAACTTTTTGCGTGGAACCTTAACACGCGAACGCGAATGCTGCGCACGGCGCATAAATAGCCGAAATGTACTCAAGGTAGAAATTTACGTGCGAAAAGTGAGCAAAAGTGCCAAAAGGTAAACTACATTTTGAGATACATACAGATGTAAGAGACATGATACATTCCGATAATATGGCACATCGTCAAGTATAAAGAAAAAAAACATACAATTAATTTTACTGAAAATTAATCTATATGTATAGAAATAACTTGTCAAGATAAAGTAGAGGTTGAGAGATAAATTATATACCTACATACTTAAAAAAAAAATTACAAATTGTAAAAGAATTTGTAAAACGCTAATGAAAATAATACATAAGATGATCATTTAGAAAGCAAGACAGCTGTTTTGGAGTCGGTTTGGAAGAAATTTGATAAAATTGGCCGATTTCGTATTATACTACAATCACGCCATACGACTTATCGAACGGACTGGCGATATGTATATATCTTTGACGATAATTAGATCACTTATTATTAGATTATTTTTTTTATTTTTAAAAATTGTAAAATTGTCTCTGAGAAAGAGAGAGAGAGAGAGAGAGAGAGAGAGAGAGAGAGAGAAAGTCTAAAACTCGTCTATTTGTTCCATTTCTATCGTTCGATCATACGTAGGGACGGAGAAATAGGCGCCTTTGGCCGAGAAAATTTTGCGCAATTTTGGCTTCGAGCCCATTGACGAGTAAATCAGGGTATGTTCACGGTCTAAATTCAACGCAACGGCGTTTGTATCGTTTACGCATTAATGGTAGGACATTGTCGTGACTCCAACAATTCCATTGTCGTATACGATCCGTGATACTTGCATTTACGTAGTTACGCGCATTTAATTGACTGCAAATTGTTTGCCACAGTTTTAACATTATTATAATTTAATCGCAAAGTGATGCAGCACGATGCTCGTAAATCGCAAATAATTTTAAGAGTTATTGAATTCAGTGTAAATATATGTGAGACTGAGAATGTATCATATACCTCGCAATCATAAAGATTCATAAGAAATCGATGATTTGTAATGATTTGTCGTTGAAGCACGTGTAGTTAAATAGTAGAAAGAGGGATGGCATTAAAAAAAAAGGTATTTAACGCTTTTTGGCATGTGCACGAAGTTTATCGATCAATGCTTGCTAAATGAGAAAGTGGCCGCAGTGTTCGTTATCAGCATTGAAGGAGAACGAATCATGAACGAACTTGGAATCATGTGTGTTGTGATAACGTGCACTCATTCACGCGCAGCATCATATTAAGCATCAGTAGTGCGCTTCTACAGCATTTTTTAGAAAACTGCTACAACGTGCCTGAGATTATTTTATATGTTATATTATACATGTAACTCTCATTTTACAGAAATCCAAAAAGTACTCCAATTTTTGCCACGTATAGTATAACAGATTTATGTTCTTTGTAGCTACCGATAGTATACACTTGTACTTAAAATGAAACATTATTTATATATATATAAAATTTTATGAAAGCGAGATAGAAAGTTTTAGTGCAGTCCAGTGCGGCGACAAACAAAACAAGCATAATGAAACCTGTTTGGCAAGACGTTAAATTCGAAAGAATGTAATAGAGCGCAACGAAATAAATATACATTCGTAGAAAGAAATAAAAAAAATTTTTAAATCGATTAAACAATTTGTAATACATATGACGGTTAATAAATTGTTTCAAATTATTATGTGTTTTTTGCACGTTTATAATATGTTTTTCAGCGAACACTGAAAAGTTGACGCACGGCTTATAAATATTATCGTATCTTGTGCTTTCCATTATCTCGGACATTGTTACCGTTTATCGTATTCGTTGAAGACAATGTATCTCACATATATATATTATACATATACTTATTAATTTCACGTTTCGCTTCAACGCCGTATACTATTTAAATATTATATCGCATTCTTGTACACAATCTGTCTTTATGTTGAAACGAAGTAACGTAAAGTAAATATTCAATCGCGCGATGGTAATGTTAATCACGATAAACGATTTCTTAGCTTATGAGTTGAGAGACTTTAAAATCGTATTCTCTATGTATAAGGTCGCTATTTGTACAATACAGTGTTTATGTCGATAAATGTGTCCAAAATCCAGGACAGGTCTTTCTATCCTATTAATCAATAAGTTCGAAAAATTTGTAAAGTTATTATAACACGCTTCTAAAATACTTTAGAAGCTTCGACAAATATCGACGAATTATTCATATTTATGATAACCTTTGACATTATCGAAATATCTTCTCGAAATATCTATCTCTACTCTTATTTTCTGCTTATAATTTCGATTCGAGATTAAGATCGGCTTTAATGTACGTAAGAGTATTAAGAGAGTGGTCCCCCTCTCCCCCTTAAATACACGATTTAAAATAAAATATAAAGTAAACTACAGGTAAAGAATTGACGAACCATGATGGACTATCGATGTACACTCATTGCGTTATCCAAGTCGGTCAATTCTCGAATCAATTCTCGTATTGCGAAGTGACAGTACGTTGAGATGAGTCCGAAAGCGTAAGAAAGCGTAAGAAACGTTCGCAGTCTAATATCGAACTATGATATTGGAAGTGGCGCGGATCGCTCGCGCGCTACCGCTTGGCCTTTGCACGAGGTCGAATACCCGCGTTCACGAGACGGCAAAATCTCCAGGTCCCGCGAAATCTCATTGCTGAAGAAGGAGACGAGGGGAGGAGGAAAGAAAGGGAGGGAGGGAGGGAGGGAAGTAGGGAGAGAGACAGAGAGAGAGAGAAAGACAGAAAAAAAAGAGAAAGAATGTACGCGTGTCGCGATCGTCGATGGCGACGAAGCCAATCATCCACGAGCGAATTATACGTTGACAAATCGCGAACGAATGCGCGATTAAGCGCGATTAAGCGCGCATCTGTTCTTCGCCGACGCGATTAGTGCGATATGTTCGCCGAGAAAAATGATCGCCGACGATGAATGTGAATCAGCGATCCGTCATCGCGTCATCCGCGGTGACAACAATGTCTTTCATCTCTCGAAACCAGTTTTCCACGCACAGATATGAAATCGCCCTTGCCGTTCGTCTTGCCGCACACGATCGGCATTGCGCGCGTCGCGCACAGAAAGATGACCGGGCTAATACTGATAGCTGGTACCCGTTCTCGCTGATACATATGATATGACCATTGGCTTCGAACGCGTTTCGTCGTGACGTCACCACGAATATGCCGATCTTCCACGTATCGCGACACAGTGATGAGGGTTCACTCCGCGTGATATGCTACTTTACACGACGGTTGCCGAAAAAAGAAAAAAAAACACGTTTCGTCGCGCGGTTGATGATTAATTCTATATTTCTCGATCACTGCCTACGAAGAGGCAGTTTTAAGTTTTGTCTTTGTCGACTAACATAATTTTGCATTGAGATAATTACGAAAGCCGAGCAAACGACAATTGAATAGAAAGCTGCAAGCGTCTATAATAGTGTCGCACAAAGGGAATTCCCCGCAGTCTTCTCTTACAACAATGTAGTTGACTACCGATGTGCTTGTTGTTTGCATTCGTTTCTTACAAATCTAACTAATATTTGAGATAATTCATATAACGAATGAAAGCGAGCATGCACCATCTTTAAAACGGTTTCCGGACTAACAACGTGGCAAATAATTTTCATATACAGGATGTCTCGATATTTGCAAGAATATCAAAATAGTACAGCAAGAGAGAGAGAGAGAGAGAGAGAGAGAGAGAGAGAGAGAGAGAGAAAGTTGTCGAAAAATAAGTTAAAAGTTTTTTTCCAAGCAGTTACAGTTTTTTATAAAGGTTAAAAATTGACTAATTAAATGGATTACAATTAAGCGGGTATCGATTCATGGACATGCAGATAGCCATTTAGCTTAACTGTAATTAATCAATTTTTAACCTTTATAAAAAACCTTTATAAAAAATCTTAATTTATGTCTCAAAATTTTACCGTTTTTCATTTCAAGCAGTAGTTTTTAAGACGTAAATGGGAGAGTAACAGAAGCGTAAATTAATTTCTAGGAGGTGAAAATTAACAAAATTAACTTTTAGTTAATTTGCAATAATGCGAAAATTGAAACATCAAAATGTAAAAGAAGCGTAAACACATTCATTTCGTTTATGTTTCTGTTACTCTTTCATTACATCCGATTTATGCTCTGATTTTTATTTTCATCAGGTTTTAGTTTGATTCGCAAATTTCGGGACATCCTGTATAAAGCTTATCACACGAATCGTAGAGTTATACAGATAAGAAACAATTTTCTTCTCTCACTTATATGTATCTAACATCTTATTCTACGTTTTAAATTACAATAATATACTATTAATAATATACTACTTAATTAAGCTCTTATTATTATTTAACACGTCAAGCAGAAATTCCTTTTCCTTTTCGTTCAAACTTATAATCGAGCGATTGTAAAACTATATAATCGCATTATATAATAATGGATTATTTTCCAAGTACATATAAAGCAAGTTATCTTTATTGTTTCTGCCATATTCTTATATAGATATTGATAGACATTATTTTCTTATACGATATCAAAGTCATATCGTAAAAGACCTTCTCACGACAAAATTGCATTCTCGATACGGAGAATAAAAGTAGATTCAGACTTGGAACTAGTCAAAGATAAGCGTATATAATAGCATCAAATATATCTTATCTTTGTACTTGCTTTTCGTCAGAAAATGATGATACAATGAATGCTCCATGAGAATCAATTGTTTCTTGTTCATTTTATATATACATATATATATATATATATACACATACATATATATATACACATACATATATACACACACATGTATATATATATGTGTGTATATGTGTACAAAATAGCTAAATATGTATGTCCATACATGAACAGAATAACATGCATCGATATACAATATATGCTCATCATAATTCATCGAAAGGCAAAAAATAATCACATATCGGGGAAAATCCCGTGTAATTGAAAAGTAAATTAAATACTGCGATATTGGTATCCCGCTCACTTAAATCACATAATCGTAAAATTCTTTAAAACTACACAAACCTGGGAAATTTCCAAAGGTCATGGATTTCTAGGTAAAACATTTGGCGAGGCAAAAGAAACAAACAGAATAATTATCACGGGACCGGCATATATACAATATATATATATATATATATATATGTATAAGACGAGCATGACTTTCCTCAAATAAATTACCAGTCATTTAACTAATCATTTTACTAAATTCTATTCAACGACGATCAAATTTATTCATCGAATCTCGTAATTTTTCAATAAATTGACGTATACTGAAAAAAGGCGTGTAATTTTATATAGAAACTACATATTTATGACCGGAAAATTACCTAAATATGATTTACAATTTCCAGTAAATTTCCAATCATATTTAAATAATTTAAGTAATTTTCCGGTTATAAACATGTAATTTCCATATAAAATTACATGCATTTTTTTCAGCAGTCTTTCAGTTTTATCATTATTTTGATTATTTTTTTTAATTAACATGCATGTTAAACGCTGCAATATCCAGATTCAGTGGGAAGGAATATATAGACGCGTGTTACAATATAACGCTGCATACATCAGAATTACTCGATGCGCACGCACGTGTGCTTTGCTTTATTACACAGAGGTGCATATTATTTAGACGTAATTGCTACTTGTCAAATGCACGCATTTTTCCGGCATTTAAATTCACCTGATTGAAAATAAACAATCTATTAAAAATGTATTACGCTATTTAAATTCAAAATAGTACATTCTTTAGGAAAATATTTTTTTCCGAAAACGGCGAGTGCGCTTAATGCAAGTCTGTCATGTAAAATAAAGACCAACATATATATATATATATATATATATATATATATATAAGATAATTCGAAAAGAGAGAAGACGCCACTTTATTATAATTTTTTTATAGAACATGCGTTGCCCTTATTAACTGCAAAAGCGTGTGGTAAACAATTGCACAATTATCAATAGAGATGAACATGTTTATACCAAAGTCGATTGGAAAAGATTATACGAAATACGAAAAGGTAGGTCGTGAAACGTGCTCTTTGTAATGTTTGGTGTGCTAATAGCTAAGGTCTGTATTTCGATGCTTACTAATAATATACATATAGAGGGAAGATGCCACTTTTGCACTTATGACCTATTAATTTTTTCTAATAATATGGAACATCAAAAGTTTAATTCATGACTTGTATAAATAAAGAAAGGTTGCTAGAATATAAATAATATTTTTTTCGTTTGTTAATTCAATAACATTAAGAAGTTATTCAAGAATAAAGGCTTAAGAGTATTGCGTCTCCCCCCCTCCCCTCAATGACATTAGCCAAAAATAAATACGCTAAGAATTTAAAATTGCGAACGTTGGTATTTATTTAATCTTCAAGTCCATAAGTAGGAGAATCATTAAATTGAAACGGATACATATGGTTATTTACGTTCACGATCTAATCTCGTATAAATATACGGAACGAGAAAGAGATATTGTACCAGTAAAATCTGTACATACATATTCGCAAATTCTGCGCTCACTTGTACTTGACAATAATATATACAATCGCTCAAAAAATGCCTTTTAATATCGAATACATGTACATACATACATATAAATATAATACAAATTGCACGGGACTATATAATAAGAGTCATCATTAAATAGACTATTTCAACTATCAAACATAAGAAATACACAGTTAATAGTCTTTGTAAGTAACTTACATTTTTAATTTTATGCAATTCTAAATGTTTTTCATTCTCTTTGCAACTTTCTTAATAAGTAACGCCTAATACTGTCCAAACACAAACGATAAAAACTTTTCCATAATAAAATCTGTATATAGTTTATATGTGTAATTGATATAATACAAACTATTACCTCCATCGCCTCATCCTTATCAACGTATCATGAGAGCGAAATATTAAATTAGCATTAGGTTCTATCAGTGAACGAAATACCTTTAAAACTAATAGCCAAGCATATTATACACACATATAGGATAGGAATTTGTATATCATACAAGTTATGACAAATATTAGATCTTCATCTTTGAATTTTCGAGCGAAAATAATCGACTATCGCGTTTGTCGCGTAAAATAGCGCAGTAGAATATACTGTATCCATAATTGATACGCTTTGTTCTAGCGTGCGTGTATTGAAATAGAAGCGAGAGGTAAATAACATTTAATATCGTGAATCAGCTGGTCGCGTTACCATAACCGCAACGGCTGTTATTGATCCGCAGCGCAGAGGAAGGTGTTCCGTACGCCGGTACGCGCGGCACATTTTGGTGCACATATACATATTTTTTCTACCTCAACCCTCAACCTGAACGGTAATGATTGGATAAAAAAGCGTCGCCACTCACCGATGCTCGTTCTCTCTGGCTCTTGGAACCGATGCTAAAAAACCGGGGTGAGCTGCATGATATAGGCGCGAGAAAAATAATTCGCTGCTGTGTGCCAGTCGACACGGTCGCCGAGGAAGTTGCTCGGGTCTCGCGTTCGAGATTAATCCGATCCGAAGGAGAGTGCTCGAGATTAACCCGCGAGATGGAAGAAAAGCGATCGCGACGAATTCAGCGCGATTTTTAATCAATTCGAATCGATTAAAGCCGAGAGGGCACGGACGGCACGCACTAGAGAAACTAATACCTCTGCCTCTTGACTTGCGTCGCGATATCGCTTTTGTTGGCTTTTGCGGCGGCAAGCGGCAACGAGCCCAAGGGTGAATTTTAACCGATCGATTGCGCGCGCATCGCGCGCCTCACGGCGCACCAAGTATCGCGCATCAACTATTCTCGCCCGTTCTCTCCCGTTTTCCCCCGTTCGCCACCCTCTTTTCTCTTTTCTTATTCTATCGCGCGAACGTTTTACTCTCACGCGTTGCGGATACTCGATTTTGCTTTTCAACCATTTTGCTGCGATCATTCAGTATAATCTTTTTACGACACGATGCATCTATCGCGCAAAAAGTATAGAATGAGTTAATAAAGCTTTTAAGGGTCGTTTACCAACAATATAGCTCCGTTTTATGTAGCTTGTACAATTAGTGTACGTTGTTGGAACTTGAAATGAAAAGGATATTTGATGTTTGATGAAAGCGAGAAAAAAATAATACGTTTCAGTGCGTGCAAGAACAGAAAAACAAACCTAATGTCGAAATTTTAATTCACTTACAATCGTGGAATCTTGCCAAAATACTCTGGCCAAAATACGGAACTTTATAAAACGTTGACGACCATTCGATGATAATTTTTTAAGAGTTTATACGTTTTCAAACTTTATAAGAACACTTATAGAACACCATTGGGTTTTAAACACATTCAGCTTATAAAATAGAGTATATATCGTTTCTGAAAGTTCTGTAATGCTAAAGTAACGCTTTCCAAAGGATGCTCAGTAAACACTTTCGTGCAGAGAGTTCACTGTCAGATTTTTCAAACATAATGTTTTGTAAGGCTTTTACACAAACGGCTTAAAGACGCCCAAAAACGTTTTTCTCAAACTCCATAACACAAGCGTTTTTCTTCCGTTTAGCAAACATTCTTTTACATATCCGATTTTCAAGTAGTGCACGACATGGCCACTAGAGGGATACAATGAAATTCAATTTCTTGCATTTAAAAAACCACTATAAAATAGGATAAAAGGCGCGGTATGATGAGATTTTTCAATAAAAAATTTTGTAATTTACCTTTTTTTTTAACAAAGTGTGTTCAGACTCAACATTTGAATTGAACGTTCATGTCATCAAACAAACATTCATGAAACTTCTTATTTTCAGAGAATACCTTTCAAACGCTGCAGCGTTGCAATTTCCGTTTTATAAACACTTTACTGACCGTTTTTAAATTCTTAACGAACTTCTGCAAACACTCATGTAAACGTTAAACAAACGTTTATGAAACTTCTCATTTTCGTCAGGGAAACTTGGCAACGAGATCAAATATGCAGTCTCATTATAATTCAACGCGAGATAAACGACTGTTTACAAGTAGGGATACATTTACAAAATTATACGACAAAATCTGAAACGAAAATATTTAAATGTTGTAATTACATCATTAAATTAAAAAATACATAAATTTAATCACTTTTATTGATTTTATAATTCTATTAGAACTTTCTGCTCTTTGTTTTATGCCGAGAAAGACTTCGTGAGGTCAAAATGTTCATATTAATTTATTATAATTTTATTTTTTTTTTATTTTAAAATAAATTAATTTTTACTTTCTTAATCTTCTTAACTTATTAAGGTCTATGTCCAAGCAAGAGCCAAAAAATAATCGGAAATAGAACTGGTTACTAAAGAAAATATTTCTGACATAAAAAGTATATTGTAAAAATCAATTTTGCAATTAATTGTTATAAACAAATAAATGAAAGTTATAGAGAACAATTATAATAATTACAGAATAATTATTTAAAAATGTAAAATTTTTTTAAATCGTTTATTTGTTATATTTATATATCCACAAATTCGAATTTACATTTTGTTTACATTTATTTCATCATAATAACTGACATTATTTTGGACCTCTCAGAAATCATAGCTGCTTATAGACTTTGTATTTCTTATGTTTATTTTTATTCTATTGTAATTTATCATATATTTTCTTAAACATATTATTATATTATATGATTTATTTTATATTTGAATCAATTTTACAATTCTACGTAGGTTGCTGGAAAAATTTTTGCAATCTAATACTTCCAGTGACGCTAACGTTCTACTATCATATCCGTAAAATTAGACGTTTTTAACCTATAATTCAGTTGACAGTTTGTACCCAAGCCAACTAGTTTTGTTTGCATAGTATTTTAAAAGAAGTTATTTTGTGAGAAAATGAAAATTTCGCGTGAAAATTTTCAGGCAATGATTACAAATGTAATCTAACTCCGAAACAATGCATTGATCGACTTCATTTGGCTTTTGGGAATGAAGCACCAATAGGACTGTTTATAATTGATTTGCCGAATTCCAGCGTGGACGTATCTTTCTTTGTGACGAATTCCGTGAAGGTCGTCCATCCACGCCTGTTGTTGCCACTAATATTGATGCTGTGCGTGAAATGATTGAGCGAGATCGGCATATGACATACCGCGAGATTCAGGCATCCTTAGGCATTGACATGAAAGCAATACATACGATTTTGCATGATCACTTAAGCGTACGGAAACTTTGCAGTCGTTGTCCCACACAATTTGATCGAAGCTCAAAAACAGGCTCGTGTTAAATGGAGCAAAGAAATGCTCAAAAAATTCAACCGATCGGTGAAATTTGGTCTATAACATCGTTACTGAGGACAAAACATAGATCTATTCGTATGAGCCCGAAACTAAACAACAATTCACTGTTTGGGTATTTCAAAATGAACCGAAACCAACAAAAATTATTCGTTCACGCAGTGCTGCCAAGCAAATGATTGCTTGTTTCTTCAGTTTTATATCGGACATGTGGCAATCGTGGCTTTAGAGGATCGAAGGACTGTAAATACTGATTGGTATACAACAATTTGTTTGCCAGAAGTCATAAATGAATTGCGTAGAACAAACCGAAATCGTGGCATCATCCTTCATCATGACAACGCTACACAGCACGTCAAACTGTTGATTTTTTATCCAGTAAAAATGTCGAATTGACTCATTGTCTGTATTCACCTGATTTATCACCTAATGACTTCTTTTTGTTCCCAAACATTGAAAAGAAGATGCGTGGTGAGTCGCTTGAAGCAGCTGTTGAAATATTTCGTACACTGATTTCTGAGGTTACAGCCTCAGAGTGGAAAAAATGCTTCGAAAATTGGTTCAAGCGTATCGGTCTTAAAGGCGAATACTTCGAAAAACAATAAAGCCATTTACCGAATTTTACATGTTTTTTTTTCATATTGTTAAGAAACTTTTCCAGCAGCCTGCGTATTATTATGTACTACAACCTATGTACTGCAGCCTATAGGCTGAAAAGTCCCGGGATTTTTAATGAAAACAAGCGTTTTTTGTGCAAAGTTATATTTATTCCTCAACATAGTTGCCTTCGAGGGCGATACACTTGGTATAGCGATTTTCCAACATTTCGATGCCCTTTCTGTAGTACGAAACGTCCAAGCCTTCGAAATACGCCTCGGTTTCCGCGATGACTTCCTCATTCGATGTGAATCTCTTTCC